GCTAATCCAATTATCCAATTCGGTCAATTCTAAGAAAAGTTATTAGCGAAACAAATTCTCGCCAGTACAACCCCCACAAACTGCAGCAACATGTTCGCTCTTCTTCTTCCTCTTTTTGCTTCTGCTATGGGCGCATATACCTCAGTGTCGGAAGTTTATCTAGGTACAGGATATTTCACTGTCGGGGCGTGACAAGACGAGTTGATCTAGCCATGACTGACTGCCTGACTGTCTGTCCGTCCGTATGAACACCTGGATCTCAGAGACTATAAGAGGTAGCGACACCAAACTTAGCACAAAGATGCCTTATGTGTGTACGCTATACGATTTTGTTTTATTTTTTGGATTTCCCCCCCACTGCCCCCCTATGGGAGTTTTCCCGATTTTCCATTCGTATAATCGCCTATATCTCGGAGACTATAAGACCTAGGAACACCCAATTTTAGTCCCCGATACCTTATGTGAATACGCAGAAAATGTGTATTTTGGAATTTCCCTCCCACCCCTATCTCCCCCGCAAATCGTAACTCCTGTAATTCTTATATTTTCGAACTCAAATTTTGCAAATAGCCCCAGTTAGTTATTATGTGTATGCCAAGTTTCATTATGATAGACCGATTAACGAGAAGTTATAGCCATAAATATATTTGCTGCCCAAGCGCTGCCCGCACCTGTTGTTGATGCTGGTGCTTTGGTTGCCTGCAAACATGCTTACACATACACGAATAGATGCGCATAGACGCAATTGCTATGTATATGTGCAATTATACACCCTTTACGTGAGTTCGAATACCGAGAGAGGTAAAATCGATCCATCGGGGAGACCCGACTTTAGCTTTTGTACTTGTTATTTTATGTTTTAATGATAAATTACTAACCATTCCGAAACCTTTGAAGTTTCCACACCCTTTTGTGTTACTTCATATTGTGGCCAATTGAGCCGAATAAACGTTGCCTTAACTTCGAAAGCAGGAAGTCAATTGGCAGTTCAGCCTTAAAGTATGAAATCAATTTGGTTGGTGCCGCCCATACGTTTGCATATCGCTCTTTGTTATCGCCGCTGGGATTTCACATGAAGCACATAATTAGCCCAATTTTTGTGACGTTGTAATATGTAGAAATCCGAACTCGTATTTTCCATCATTAAATTTCCATTAGAGTGCGAGTCCAGGTTGAGGTAGGGCTCTTGACTTTGTTGGAAGCATTCAATTAGCAGTGACTTTGTGGGCGAAGCGCGTAAACACGGAACAAGGACTATGGCTATTGATTTTTATTATGTAAGCATTCAGCTCGAAAAACTGCTCGCTCTTTCGTCACAATTTAAAGACAATCCGTGCGCATGGCTTAGCAAAGCGGCTATTGCGGGAATGTGTTGCTTAAATTTGTTGCGGAACCAAAAAAATCACAGTAAACACTAAGTTTATGGACAATAAATCGGGTCCAATGAGCTGATCAGCCGGAATTAAATGCAGCGTATTAAATTGTATTTAATAATGTTATGTCTTGTGCGGGAGTAAGAGATATGCGACATTTCTTTGAGTAATATAAATAAATAATGCCATTTTCATTTATTCGACTTAAAATCGAGCTCAAACTTCAAACGGAAGCATTTTGTGTGCATTAACACCATGATGCGGCACAATGGAGGAACACAACTGAAACAAAGCTCATGGTACTCTGAAAAAAGTGAAAAAGCCGAGCCGATAATGGGACAGTAAAAAGGCGAAATCTAAGAAACACACATTTACGCACGTGAGGCAGCAGCCTGCCAGCCAGCATATGTATTTACAAACATGTATATACTTAGAATATTCACGTATGTATACACATACAAGTGTTTCAATGGCACGTTTCAGGGATCTCTTTCATATATCTGTAAGCTGTATTTTCAGCTTTACTGTCTCCGTTTCTTTCATTAAATCTCTGCTGCTTACCCAAAGCTGATTCGTTTGATGTTTCCCTATTTGGATGCTCATCGATTTTTTTTCATTTCGTTTCGCACAATTTTGTTGGAAACTATGTTAATTATGTTCGACGTTCGAGGTATGTTTTGCATATTATTTGAAATAAACGACTGTAAAAGAAAGCTTTTTTTCTAACACAAATCGTTTGGAATATTGTTCAATGATGAACAAACGTTAAGTGAACATTTACAAACAAACATTGTGTAACAGAAACAAATGGGTGACATAAAGTTCAGCTTGTTTGAAAATGGAAACTAATCAAAAAATGCAATTCTTTTGAATCAATCAATTGTTGAATCAATATGACGCCGGCTTGTTCTCGTACGTCAAGTCTGAACACAACAAAAATTAAAATATAGCAAAACAATATTCAAATGGAAAGCGTAACAATATAGCGAATAAATTGTTGAAATTGGATGCGAGCATTAAAGGAAATACGGGCTGGAAGATACCTCTCATACCTATTTGATAGAGTGTGCCATGATGGACTCCTCTGCAAGTTGAAAGGCAAACTAACTCCTCAACTGTTCCAACTCATCGAAAGCTTTCTAAGGAACAGAAGCTTTAGACGGTCATACGCTGTATACACTATTTACTGCAGATATGCCTACACCGCAAGAAATCGTTCGCTTAGACGATGATAATATAGCTTCGGTAGCCTTGCAGCAAATGTTTGCAGCTTCAGGAATAGGGCTCTGAATTGGAACATTGGTATCAACGCCAGAAAGTGCGCAAATGTCACATTTGCAACAAGGCCATCATCCTGCCGAAATATTATAATTTTGGGGTCCACACTCACTCATACAAAATCCCACAAATACCTTGCTGTCATACTGGACAGGAGACTCACCTTCAGAAAGCACACTGCCACAAAAAAAGTCGGCTTCATTAGTTTTCGATTTGCTAAAGGAAACAATCGCAATATGAGTATAGTAACCTATTAGCATTACCAATTCGATCAAAAGTGGAGATTTGACTTAACTGAATTACCACAAAAAGGAAAGAGCAGTGAAGTGAATGGAGTTTTATGTTATAAATCCAAATTTTAATTAGAAAGCGAAGCAAAAATTTCCGCGTTTCTTTGTAGATTAATAAGTTGTTGGGAAAAATTCCGTATAGATGTGTAGTGAAAGGCTATACTAGTTTTGTGCGCATGTATGTAACACACAGAGGGAGGCGTGGCAGACCCCACAAAGTATATATATTCTTGATCAGGATGAGAAGCCGAGTGGATATAGCCTATAACCAAACTTGGTTTCTATATTCTCCTAAGACCGAGAAAGTACGAGTTTGAGTTTTTTTTCGATGCACCCCCCCACTCCCCCGCAATTCGTGTTTTTTCTTATAACTTCCGTAGTTCTCGGAATTTTGAAATCAATTTTGGTAGGTACTAATGTGTCCGTGTGCCAAATTTCATCATGATAGGTCAATTCTGAAGAAACTTATAGCCATAAATAAAATCGCTGCTCATGCGCTGCCTGCAGCTCTGCCGGCAGCGCTGCCCACAGCTGTTGTTGTTGTTGCTGATTTGCTTCAACTTTGTGCTGCTTACATACACGCATATAAACTTATGAGTGTGATGTAAATGTATGCTGTTAAAACTGAACATAAACATGTCTTCTAATTTCATTAATTAAATTTTTTTTAATGATATAATTTTTTTTTACATTTTTTTCTTTATTTTTTTTTTGTGTCTCCCGCCTGTTAGAATAATCAAAAGTTCTCGGTGCTTAATACATACGTAGTCATTCTGAGCTTTGCTTTGCAATCCACAACAAAGTGTTCTTTTATTAATGAACTTGTGAATTAGATTTGAATTGGGTGCTTTATCTGATTGAGTTGCCAGAAATATTAGTATTCTTCCATAGTTTGTGTATTTGAAATGTGTGTCTCGTTTGGGAGTGTGATAAACGTGGTTTAAAGTTAAATGTATCGTCACTTTGTTTTATTATGTTCTACATACAGTTACTTACATAGGTATACTAAGCTAATGTAGAGGGCACCATATAGCATGATATAGTGCTCATACTCGCAGTTTCGATTAGTTATGTTATATTTATGTTTCTGGATTTTAGTTACAAGGTTGTTTATACAAATTGTTTGGTACAACAATTCTGTGTTCTTTTATGAAATTTACAAAATGTGTAAAGTTTTCGCCTTAAAATTATAACAATAATCATTATGTTAAACACTCTGGGGTATTTGAAGTATGTGGTATGTTTTATTATATGCATGTTATTTGTAAAGTTACATGTTTATTTATGTTTGGTGAGTGCGTGAACACAAAAATATTGTATGCCGACATAAATGTGTTGTTATTTATAAATGTATCTTTTAACTTTGCTTTTATACAGTTGCCTCGCCTATTTTAGTATCCGATTTGGTTGGGCAGTTTTGAAGAGACAAGGACAGACAGCACACACACATAGGGACGGTTTGCTTTTCATGTTATTTACTGGGGGGTTTTTCGGGTGGGACAACCACGTCGAGGATGTATATAGTATGTGTTAGCTACAGTTTGGTATAATATTGTACACTTGATATAACTCTTTTTAGTTTATGTTTTTAAATTGTAATGCAGTTTAGTGTTAATATTAAACAGGACAAGACGTCACACTATAGCTACACGTAAAGAGATTTGAAATTTTGATAATATTGTATACGAGTATAAAAAAATTGAATTGATAAAATGTAACTGTCGAACAAATGAACTAAACTACACGCCACTACGTACTTTACTTACTTTAAATTGAATTTACAAAGTCTTTATACATAATGTTTACGAGTATAGAGTGTTGGATAAAAAATGCGTACAAGAGAAAATTTTACGCTACGCACAACTTGGTGTCAACTTTAAAAGTGAGAGAGCGAATAAAATTTTAAGTATGTAGGTACGAATATGTGTGTATTGTGTAAAGGTATTTCATTTTATTGTTTTTTAAATTATTGTTATTGTTGTTGGTGACCGAACTACTTCAACTAAATGTGGCATGTGTGGGGATCATGAAAGAAAATTGATGAGTGTTTAATACGCACCCTTGGTGGTCTTGAAGCCCTGATTGATGGCACGTGTGGTGCGCACAGCCGCCCGGTAGATGCGCCAGTAGAAGAAGAGCATCACGAACATGGGAATGTAGAAGGAGCCGAGCGCCGAGTAGAGCACGTAGCCCCGATCGTTGGTCAGTTCACATTTCCAGGGGCAGCTTGGCGATGGCAACTGCACGTTCATATTCTGGGGCGGTCCCAGCAGATCATAGTCCAATGCGGACATATCTGTGGTGGCCAGAGGGGGTTCTAAAGTACTAGTTGTAGTGCTTGCTGTTGTGCTCGTTGAGAGATCCATGGCCGCTATGCGTATTTCAGCCGAGCTATCAAGTGGCGCGAAATTCGGATCGTAGGGATTATAGGCGTTGCCTGCAACCAGCGAGCCGGCCCCTGTTTGTTGCTGTTCCTTAAGACTATCTAACTGCAGTTCCTGTTCCTGTGTGCTTGACATGGTTGTGGCATAATACAGCGTATAGTTTCCCCTCATATAGGTTGGTTGTACCGCGGGCTGCAAAAAGATTTCAAATGACATTTGATATTAAAATAGAAGGCTAAACACTTTGGGCATTTCATGCGTGCGTATCATCGTTTCCATTGTAAGTAGCCACAATACATACATACTTATGTATATGAAAAGCCACACATTTAAATTCCACACACTTGCGCGCACACACATTGCTCACAATAAGCCAATAAAAATGCAACTAAAAGCGGTTTATTTTGCAAAAGATATTCATGGACGTGCTGAGCATAAATACGACTATGCCCCATGGCCCCATAGCATGCTGCCAGGATAGCGCGGTTAATATGCATGAGAAGCGACAGCAGAAGAAGTGGCAAACGTATTAATAACAACAGCATCGTGTGGCATTTCGAAAAGGTGCGGAAAGACGCTCATACTCGTCACCCACAAGGGTATTGTGCATGTATTTGGAAAAGTGAAAGTCGTCGGGTTGTCACAAGTGAGCGAGTCAAGCGGATAGGCAACAAAACAGCTGGCACGCAGCATGCAGCTCAACTGAAATTGAATAAAACCCGGACTGGACACCGTGGAACCAATCTTGGCTCCAACTTTTCGAAAATAACGCACATGAAAGTTTAACTGCCTCTTTTGTCGCTCAAATACAAGAGATGCGTTGTAAATGAAGGCTGCTGACTATTTACTTGTTAAATATGACTATATATCAATTTTTTAGGGTTATTACTAATGGGGATCTGATCCTTCCTCGATTCGAAGATGATATAATATATAGGGCTTTTTCGAACTGAAATTTTTTGTTTTAATTCCTTATGATATTAGTACAGAGCTCGAAATCAGCCACAGAGTCATTGCTAAGGATACCGTCCGAAGATATAGCAAAGAAGTCCCTCAGGTAGAGAGGTCGTGAATAGAACAAATCTACGATAAAGTAACTACTTTTATTAGAAAAATAAAAACAGAAATGAATCTACCATACAATTTGGTTGTAGGAGTAAATCGTTTAGAAGTCTTATTATGTAGCTGTATTTGATCGAACTATATAACCAGTTCACGGAGGTCTCTTGAATGTACAGGTATTTGGGCTCATCCTTAACACATACATCACATCATTCTCCAATATCTGTTATAGACAAAATATATCCTTATAAAACGACACTAGATTTGTGATGCCCATGCATCTACCACTCTAATCTGAAACCACTGTGCTATGGCAGCAGCGCACTAAGGAGCTTGGGACGGCGGGGCACGTCGCTTATGTAAGCGCTGCCAACAATGGCGACGGCGTAATAATAATCGATAGCATGAGCGCTAGCTCGTAAATCGAGTTTCAATAAAGTCGCATAGTCAGCCTTTGGCTGCCAGGCGGCAGCCGGCAAGCGGAAGGGGCAGGGTGGAAGGCATCCGACAGGCACACAAAGCTGCCCATTCAAACGTAACGCAATTCAATGCAATGAATTGCATCCAGCTGAGCTCGAGCTATTGCAGGTCTATAATTGAATTGATCCATGCATGCTGCTACACACGTAAGTCGTTTGTGGAGTTATGTGCTTATATATAGACATATTTATTATATATATATGAATATGAAGTGTGTCTGTGTGTGTGTGTATTTGTGTGTGAATTGGAATCTCAATCTGTTCGCTGTGCTACATCGCTTTGTGCTCCATACAAGCATTTGCAGGAGGATGTAGCAGCTTGAATTCTGAGTAAAATTGATTAAGCCATTCGATTGGTGCGAGTTGCTGCGCTATTTCAGACTTTGCTGACCCATATGGCTGATGAACACTGCCATTAACCCCAAGGAAGACTTGACTTGAAATACATGGCTTAACACATAACACAAGAAGATGAAGTACAGCAGCAACCGCAGGCCATGGGAGATTTATGAGCTTATTGTTTGCGTAACTTTATTTCTTCCATTATCGGGTGAGCGAAGGCGAAACTGACGACCACAGATGACCGACTAATATTAAAGCGCGCAAAATGATATATTTACTTTACTCGCAAATGTCTCCATTAACATCAGGGCTCTGGTCAAAGGGGACTGTGAAATTTTGAAATAATGTGGTTGTCTGATATATCGTATTTTAGCTAGCGGGGGACTCCCAAGAATAGCAACTGATGGTGGGCGAGTGCATAACTTGAAATGCGAAAGTTGTGACAGAAATTGATTGTGTTATAGATATAGATTGGAAGTGAAGTTATTGCGTTTTAAGTGTCAGTATGTTTGTGTTATCGATCGGAAAATGAGCTTCGAAAAAAAGAGCCAACATTAAATTTTGTTTTAAAATTGGTAAAACTTTTACCGAAATTGATGAAACAAGTTTATAGCGATGATTGCCTATCCCGTAGCACGAGTGGTTTCAACGTTTTCAAAGTGGTCGTGAGGACATAAATGACGATCAACATGTGGGCCAATCAAAATTCGTGATCACCAAAAATTCGATCGAAACTGTGCGTGAATCAGCCCCAATCATCATTGAAATTGATGGAAATGGAATTGAACATCTCCAAAACATCGATTTATCGCATTTTGATCGAACATTTGGGCTTACGAAAGGTGTGTGCACGGTTTGTTCCGCACAAATTGACTGACGACCAAAAATTGCTGAGAGTCCGACCGATTATTTGACCAAAAATCACATTTTAACCATTAACCACTCGCCGTATTCACCTGATATGGCACCGTGCGACTTCTACCTTTTCGGAAAACTACATTTGGCCATGAAAGGAAACCGCTATGCTGACGTTGATGCCATCCAACAGGCGGCTACCGCCATCCTCAACGCTATACCGACAAATTACCTAAAAAAGTCGTTTGATCACCTTTTTGAACGTGCAAGGAGACTATTTTGAAGGCGGCCAATAAATTTTTCAAAAAAAAAAAAATAGTTTTCGTTTTTTAATAAAAGTCCTGGAACTTTTGAATTGCACGTTTTTGACGTTCAAATGATAGCTACGGCTATTTCGCAAAAAACTAAGCTCAATGTTCAAAATAATTAGAATATAAGAAATTAATTTGGCAATAAATGTTAGAGTATTTGTCCTGCTTAGTAAAGTATGGACATATAAAGTATGTTTAAGATATCTCAAGAAAACAATGTGCGCCAGTGCGATAAGCATGATCATTCAAACACAATGACAATGTATATCATATTCCTGCATATTTATCTTAAGTAATGGCCTTTTAGATACAAAAACCGTTGGCATTAAAGTTAAAGATCTGAGCAGTGCTTATACCATTTTCCATTTATCTCGAATCACAGGCACACTACGCTGCTCATTCGTGCGCAGACATGCAGCATACGGCACTGCCAACTATACCAGTGGCCATGGTGAAAGCAAAAGGAACAACAAATTCAGCAGTAAGCGCAGTTAGTAAACTGATCTGATTACCCAGCACATGGTGATGGCTGGCACCCGAAACATAGTGGGGCACATTGCTGGCCATAAATTGTCCTGTCTTGGCTTGTTTTCTTGTCAGCGCGTTGTTTTCGTTGTCGCTGTATGTTTAGCTGTATGTATGTATAACACATCATTATCATTGCCATTACGTAAGAGCTTTGTGCATGAGAACTAGAGCGCCGTAGGCAACAAGAAAAAATGGACAGTCGACTGACTTACTGGCTGGCTGGCTGGCTGGTTGGTTGACTATCAGCCTGTTGTCAAGTAAAATTGGGAGCCAAGCGACAAAGAAACGAAAAAGCGTCTCTTGTTTCACGGTAATTTTGGCACAAATGAGCCACACTACTGCAGTCTTGGGTGCGGGGTGGCTTGTTTGATTGACTGAGCTGACTGTCTAACTGACTGACTGACTGGCTGACTGGCTGACTGACTGACTGACTGGCTGGCTGACTGGCTGACTGACTGGCTGACTGCCTGGCTGGCAGAGCTCCAACTTGTAATGGTGTCAATGACAGTCTGACGCATATGAAGAGCCGCCAAATTGTCGGGCGTGGCGCCTTTGTATGTCATTGTCACAAAACTCGCGTGGGTGAAAGGGTTGTCCAAAATGTCTGGCCGACCTTCTCCCATACTCTTTTGCGGTTCTGTGTGTTGGCAACCACAATCCCACAGTGGAACGCGTTAACAACTACTTCCAAGTCTTTGAATTTTTGTTTCTGACCTCTTGTTTGTTTCTTGTAGGTATACTGGGAAGAGTATGAAATGAGGTGAACTCTTCACATTTGAATTGAAGTTGTTGTGGATGGTCAGAGGCTTACCTTTTGATCCTTCCAGCCCACTAGCGGCGGGAAGCATATAACAAATGAGAGTACCCAAATGCCGGCTATTAAGGATTTGGCCTTCTTCGTTGACATGATGCTCGGGTAGGTAACTGGGCGTGTGACGGCCACGTATCGATCCAATGATATGGCACAGAGGTTCAAAATCGATGCCGTGCACATCCAGACGTCGACAGCCAGCCAAATGCGGCACCAGACGTCGCCAAATATCCAAACCTGCAAAATGAAAACAAAATGTCTATTATAGTTGCGTATACGCAATGTGGGACATACATTTATGAGATATCGACAATATATTTAATAATAATATGAAAGCTACCACTTCATCGCTTTTAATTTATTTTCTATGCTTAGACGGTACTGTGCTGAAAGAAATCCCTGCGAAATTTTCTATAGTATAACGCAATTTGCTGTTTATTGTTTATGGATTGGATTTTATTTACAGTTTTATAGTTAATCTAATAACGCTACCTTCAATTTCATTTTAAGACCACACAATTCATTTCATTTAACTCAAACTAAGTACTTTTGAAAATCGGCATATAAAATAAAGGGTGTTAGCCTGCACTAAAAATTTAGAACCCGCGGCTGTTAGGGCTATGGTCTATTGAACATACTTCTACGTACTCCTTCATAAAACTTGAGTCCTGCAAAATGCTCAATATCGCGAATATCGGATAAGAACGAACGTAGATCGATTTCTTTATCAACGGCTGCGTTTGGCACCACATATCCCTCCATATAGGGCAGGGCTCCGGGGTTCTTATGCTCACTGATTATGACTTTGAAGAAGTGAGTCGGTACCGCTACAGTATTCATGCCTATGACAGTGAACCGCACTGCCCAATTGCGAAAGTTGATGCGGTGGGGCATGTAGAGGGGACCCGAGTAGACATAGACCGAGCCAGATTTGAGTGTCAGCTGACGCACATATTCCTCCAAACGCTGCCAAACATAGTTTTTCATTATTCGATTTTGGGGCACAATATTCGAGAGTAGAAACGACTCGTTGTACTGGACGGTGTCACAGCTGTAATTATTGGGTGCGGCCAAGTGGCCCTCGACAAAATCGCTGTACTTGTAGTCTTGGGTGGTGGCACGAAACATTACTGGTATGCTTTGATCACCACGGGACGGCTTCGTTGGTGCATCAGAGGCAAGGGGAGTCGTAATGCATTCGGCGCGAAGATGTTCACAAACCCAATGTGCAATGCGGTGCCGGCGATCGTAGGAGAGCACGAAGCTCTTGTACACTCTAATGTCATCTAGGCCGGGGAATCCATATTTCATAATATCTGCCAAATGGGATGATGAGAGCTTGGGCTGCTCTTCATCCGCCTTTATGTTTAAAAAAAAGAAGGAAAACTGTGGACAGATTGCGGATAAAGCACTATTGCATTGATAATAATTCGTACAAGCCTACCACTTTATAGCATTGAAGTCGAAACCAGAACAGTGTACAACCAAGCACTGAGTCTACATCCTTGCACTGGGGCTCAATGGGCGTGAAGCTGACCCCTGTCTTCCGTTTCTCGCCCAAGAGCGCCAACTGCGGATCAGACATTCGACAAATTTTTGAAATGGCAAATGCTCATATTGTTCCAATTTACCGCAAATAGTAGTTTTCGCCGGCAATTAAAGATATAGGGATCTACATTCATGATATTTTTTATGTTTCTTATTGACACATGCTGCTGTAAAATGGCGCCCAGAAAAAAACAACTGATGCCTGTTACAACGCATAGAAATGTGGTGTGATGGTTTCGCATCTTTGATTCTGAATGTGCTGCAGGCCAATTTTGAAAGGTTTTGAAAGGACACAGTGCAGCAGACAGCTGCACAATTGAGATGAAAACATTTTAATATTTTCAAAATAAATAAATATATGTCAAAACATTTAGTTTACTTGTTCAAAATATTTGTAAACTAATTGATCTCTGGGTCCAGCTGCAGTGGGAAACCATTATTAGTTTAATTATGTATGTATATATAATAAACATGTAGAAAGATACATATACTTGTACTAGCAGGTCTTGCCCGTCTTTGCTGGGCTAAGTAAAATGTGCTTATAGTTATAAGTTTATTTACTATATGATATTCTTCTTTCGACGCTCTCTAAAGTTTTTTAAAGAGTTCATTTTCCAAATAGCAAATATAGTACAATAAGTACTATGTATGGTTATACGTACATACATACATATGTACATATCTTCGTTACGCACCGAACGGACTGCCAGTTCTGACTTAACTGTGTGCTTCCTCAGCACGTTGTACGCACGGTCGAGTTATCCCCGAAAAGTCCGACGCGGGACATTTAATTTTGATTTATAAATCGGGATGTCCCGCCAAAATTGGAGCGTTCGGCAACGCTGATATGTACATACATTTAAATTTTTCATGCAGGCGTTATCCGCCTTTATACATACACACATATATAAGTATGTATTAAATTTTTTAATTCAACACTTATTTGAGTCTTCAATTCCAAATATGATTGTTGTGAATGTAAAAGGTGTGTTTCTGCTTTTGTAAATCGCATGAATACACTCACAAAATAGGCTTAACGATAAATGACTCTTAGATTTGTTCAGAATACATTTGTAGCGTTGTTAGCTAACACTAAAACGGTAAGTCGCTGTAAATATGCGATCAGTTGAGATGCTAGAGATGGGCATGTGCCGGATGCTCTATGTGTTAGAGCATCAAAACTATCGATAGTTGAATCCGTCGATACAATCAATAATTCCATCGAAGGTTGAATGTAATTAACATAAAATTTAAATAATAACATCTTATAATTTATTGAGATCAATTAGAACAAATCATATAAAAACATACATATGTACATCTACCCGCAACGCGAAGCAGAATATGCGTAGGTCCGCTTTCGGTTTCTGCTTTACTATCGCTTACGCAGTCGTTGCCTAGCGACGGTAACTGTAAACTTTTGGCATTTTGCTTTTGAAATGAGCAGGCGTAAATGATCAAAACGAAAGAAGAAGTGCGAGCCAATGACTTGCAGTTGTTCTTGTTTTTCGTTTCAAAAATTTGATAAACAACAGTGTTCGATTGTCCAATGTATACATATTTACATACATACGAATGTACATACATGCTATATATGTATGTACGTACACAGGCATACATATGTATGTACATATGCATGCATATTTCTCTTTACTTTTTCATACATAGACACGAACTGTTGCTTGTTCTGTGTGTGTGTGTGTGTGTAAATATATGATGTCCCTAATTATTTGATGTTTGCGTTCTTTGTAATTTGTTGTTGCTGCATAAAGTTACTAATGAAAACCCCAATGCCAAATCTACTAAACAACGAAAAAATTACTTTTAAAAATGTTAAATAATTTTTTAATTAATTAACATTTCTTCCTCTGTCAGTGCAAGACGAATGAACATACACACATGCATACATACATAGATGTGTACATGTACATAGATGTTTTTTTTTTTTTTTTTTTTTAATTCGTTTTATTTATATAGGAGGTAAAAGGTACAGGATGAGAATATAAGTAGAAGGAAAAATAAAAAAGATGAAAAAACGAATCAGCATCCGGGCGGTACGGCCGTGGAGCATTGCTTCACCCGGCGTTGACTCGCTTACATCCGTCCTCGATGGCGTTCGCGCTCCAGTCTCCGTAGCTCTCCCATGACTGTGGACGCGAAGTCGCAGCAGGCATTCCAAAACCGCTCGTCCGCCACCATGCTGCTGGTGAAGTTTGCTGGCGACAGCGGTTACCTAGCAGGTGGCGAAGGTGGCTCCTAGCCCTCTCAAACCTAGAGCATACGAAGGTGACGTGGTGTGGGTCCTCAATAACTCCCCGCCTGCAGAACGTACATTCAGATCCGACATCGTGACCGAAACGGAGAAGGTAGCTGCGAAAGCAACCATGGCCACTCAGGATCTGCGTGAGGTGGAAGGTTACATATCCATGCTTCCGCCCAACCCAAGCCTGGATATCCGGGATCAGTTGGTGCGTCCAGCGGCCCTTGTAGGAGGTATTCCAACGTTGTGGCCATATCCTTAGGCTTTGCTCCCTCGCGTTAGTGCGTGCTACCCTACGCAGAGAGGGCGTCGCAGTCTCGTTCGTGCCATTTGCTCTCGAGTTCCGATGGATTGTGCTTTCCTCGTTTGCAAGCAGGTCAATTGGCACCATGCCCGCGATGACCAGGGCGGCGTCGTCTGATACTGAAGGCGCCGCATACTCGCAAAGCACCAAGGCGGTACGTGGCTTCCAGGGGCTTTAAGTAGCTCTTCGTTTTTGTGGCCTCGTTCCAGATGGGAGCTCCATATAACATCGCTGCCCGTGTGACTCCCGTTAGGAGAAGTCTGCTTCCTTGCCTCGGTCCACGGGTGTTTAACATTATGCGCCCCAGAGATCGCGCCATCGTGGAGGCCTTCTTGCTTGCATGGGCGAGGTGTTCACGGAAGGTAAGCCTAGTGTCCAGCATGATGCCCAGGTACAGAATAGCGCGCTTGGACTCCAACACCCTATTCCCAATGGCAACGTGGGCCACCTCCACTACTTTGCGGCTGCTAATCTGGACTGCATCCGATTTGAGTGGAACCAGCTCTAGGCCCACTGCATTCATCCAGTCGTTGATCCTACTGATGGCGACGTTGCATTTGCCTTCAACCTCTGCCAGATCCTTCGCAACCGCCACCACCGCAATGTCGTCTGCGAATCCGATTGTTTCTGTACCTGTTGGCAGCTCCAGCTGCAAAACGCCGTCGTACATTATGTTCCACAATAGTGGCCCTAGCACTGAGCCTTGAGGTACGCCTGCGGAAATCTTGTGCGTCTTGATGCCTGTATACGTTTCATACCGGAGCACCCTGTTGTTGAAATAGCTTCGGATGCATTGGAAGAGGTAAGCGGGGATGCCGCGTGCTGCGAGTGCGTCGAGGATCGAAACCCAGTCTGCGGAATTGAAAGCGTTCTTTACGTCTAACGTTACCATCAGACAATACTTCTTGGTGCCTACCTTCCAGAGCGTCCCTTCAATAGCGTTTGAGGCTATTTCGACGTCTTTACTGATGGCATCAATCGTTGATCTCGCCTTCCTGAATCCATATTGGTTCGGGGACGGTCCTCCAGTGACGCTTAGGGCAGCCTCCAGTCTCGTGCAGAGAAACTTTTCTAGTACCTTCCCCACCGTGATTAGCAAGCAAATTGGCCTGTAGGAAGAAGCCTCACCAGGGGGCTTACCTGGCTTCGGGAGTAGTACCAACTTCTGGACCTTCCAGCAGTCCGGAAAGACTCCTGCATTTAAGCAATTTACAAAAAGTGCAGCGAAGGGCTGGGATGCAGCGATAGTGCCATCTTAAGCGCTCGGTTTGGCATGGCGTCCGGGCCCGGTGCCTTATCCTTTAGGGAACTTGCTACTGCAAGCACTTCTGCTTCCGATACCACCGTTGTCTCAGGGAAGGAGGGTATAACTCTGTGCACGACTTCTCCGGCCACAGGTCTAGAGGGGAATAGTACACCGACTATTTGCTAGGCGCTAGTGCCACGGATCGTGGTCTGCCGAGTCGCATAGCTCCAGGAAACAGTTCCTTTTACTGATACGAATCGTGCGCTTCAGGGATCTTCTGCAGTTCCTGAATTCTGATTGCTGGAGTAGAAACGCCTGTGTGCCTCGCAGCCTTTGGGATGCTCGTCTGGCTCGATTGCATGCCCCACGCAGCTGCGCAATTTCCTCGGTCCACCAGAACACTGGGTCATGGTGTCGCGGATTAGACTTTCTCTTCAGCATGCTAGCATCACATGGAGCCTGCAGTTGAGCCACAGCTCCTTGCGCCATGCTCTGAGGACTCCCGATGAGGTCCAAAACGGGCAGTGCTTCCGAAAAGGCAGCAGAATTAAAGGTGTTGGTGCGGTACGAGTAGTCCGTGCGTGATCCGTGTCCCTGTCTACTCGTCCTTTCCTCGATTGTGCAAATTATTGCATCATGGTCACTAGCCGTGTAGACGTCGCTCATTGACCAAGACGCCGAGTTAAACAGGGAGCTGCTTGCGAACGTGAGGTCTATTATGGAGCTCGTGCCGGCTCTGCTAAATGTGGGACCAGAGCCTGAGTTTAATAAGGAAATATCCAATCTTGCGAACGTTTCGAGCAGGATACGGCCCCGAGCGTTTGTGCAGATACTACCCCAGTCAACGGCCCATGCGTTAAAATCTCCGGCTAATATAGATGTGTACATATGTATGTGTGTACATTCACACATTAGTGTCTCACATTTTGCTTTGGCTATTTCAATCGTTTGCAGTTACTTGTGTGTGTGTGTGTGTATGTATACTTAATTGTCCCCAACTGTTTGATATTTTGTATTGTTTGTTCTGCCTGCATTTGTAAAATGCATATTTTGAAAATCCATGAACGCAAAGTTGTAGATTTAGTTAGGTAGATTACAGTCCCCAAATTTGAAATCGATCGGAAAAATTTTATAACACAAACTTTTCATTTGAAAAGGTGAATAAATATTAAAACCCCAATAATTAAAATGTCAGCTTTCTAGCTCTTACCGTTTGGGCTGTGGGCTGTTGACGCGGTTTCCTCTTGTGCCCCAAAAAAGCCCCAATAATTCAGTCTCCAAGATAATATTTAAGAAACCAAGTATGCAACTTTCTTTGTATTCTTTCATTGATTTTAGAAACCAAGTTTAAGGTCGATCGGTTGAAAAATTATGATTTTTCAAACAAACTTTGGAACTAGTTTTCCCCGCATTACCAAAATCCTTTCTTAGTGCGCACCTACACTTGGGCTGTGGGCTGTGCGTTGATCACCAATCAGTCAGTCAGGACAAACTGTTTTATATATATAGATTTGAGGGGACTTCGCCCAAACAACAGCGTAAATGGTGGTGATTGTTTTGATGCCTTATCGATGGAGCTGAATATGCTTTTAAGACACTCGTTTAGAATGCACCATTTATTTTAGGTTGATTTACATGAATTTGGCCAAAATTATGGATAAATAACCTTTATCGATCATTGTAAGCAATAAATATTACCAGCATGATCAGCAGGTCGCTTAAGTGCTGCAAGAGAAAAACTCTAACCTCCTACTCCAGAGTAGCTCTCAACGCCGATCTAACCATTAACAAAAACCATTGTGGAACAGGACAATTTATATTCCTGAACAACATAATAAGACGAGCTAATATTGAAATATAAATTTGTCTTTTTGTTCTTCCATCTGCCTGCTTGCCCTTAACAAAGATTTGGCCATTACCATATTGGGGATGCAGATTCTACTTGATCCATAGAACATTCACGTTTTTTTGACATCTTCAAATATATATATTTTTTTGAAGCTACGATTGCTACGATTTATGTTTTAAAAATTGTTATTATATCATAGTTGCAAACTCACCTTAAAAACCTCCCACGTGGCGGAGAATGGCAGCACCGCCAGACCCACTAACAAATCGGCAACTGCCAAGTTAACAATGAAAAAATTTGTAACGCTACGTAATTTGTTCGAACAGAAGACGGCGGCTATTACTAGACAATTGCCACCAATGACCAGAACGTTGATAAACTCGAGTATGGCCAAGGAGATCAGATTCGCTGGTTCCGTCCATTTCACAGATTTAATGAGATTCTCGCACTCTGTGTCATTCATGGCGGTACTTTTGTGATGGGTGTATGTATGTGTTTACCACCTGCAAAGTAGAAGTGAAGCAGAAAGAGCGCACATTAGCAGGCTGCAAATATAATTAGCTGGGCTCGCAAAGTTCAAATGTTCATGGAGCCGTCTAATTAATTTATGAAAAAATGTGCTGCCGCTCTAAATAAGTAACAAAAAAGGTCAAATTAGCGCGGCGGCAGACAATACAAAAACAAATATGACAGGCACACAACCACTTACATAAGTCCAACCATCCAGCTCGGAGATCGGACAGTCAAAATTTAAACTGAAGCTCCGCGAGTCAACACAGCTGCCGGAGGATTGTCTCATTTCAATCGGGAAAAATGAACAAACTCGTCCTTTCTCGGCTCAGGAGAATCTGTATACCAAGTTTGGTTATTCTAGCTCTTATACTTTCTGAGACCGTTGACTTCATACAGACGGACAGACAGACGGATAGACGGCCATCGCTATATCGACTCGGCTTGTCATGCTGATCAAGACTATATATATTTTGTGGGGTCTGCCACGCCTCCTTCTGTGTGTTACATGTACACTCGCACAAAACTAATATACCCTTGTACCCTTTGGTTTCAGGGTATAAAAAACACATTCTAAAAGAGAAATATTGAAAATGGTTCCCTCACAAATATTCAGCTTCATTCTTTAGCTACGGACTTGAATGCTAAGGTTTGAAGTCTAAATTCCAAGGCATGACTATTAAAATTTTCCTGTTTGTTTAATGTTATATGTAGTAAAACTTTAATATTAACTGTTAGAAAGCCGATCTTTCCTTTATAAGATGGTAAGTTAGATAACTCAGGTGAGCCAATTGGATCAAAACAGAATAAGTTTCAGCACATTTCCATTCGAATTATAGCATACAATATATTGATTCAAACAATACTCTTTTATGTAAATAATTTTCTAACTCATGTTTTATCTAAGACTAAGGGAAGTAATGCCGTTAAGATAAACTTGGAAATAAATACAAAAAGTTGAACTAAAACTCCGCTTAGTTTGTATGTTCACGCCAAAATAGGGTGTGCGTGGGCTTGTTTGTTGTAATGTAACAAATCCGGAGCGGTTTACTCCAACTTTATTTTTTGTTGTTGTCGGTGCGGCCGCTTGGCTGCAGCTGACAAGCAAGTCTCATTAAAAAATATGCCATAATTTGTGGCCGGACAGCCGGACAAAATGGCTGTCGGCATATTTGCTTAATTGTTTTGTAAGACGACGTAAGCCTGGCGTGCTGACGAGCTGTCTGACCGAGTCGGCTTACATTTAAAGTGCCCACGCGCACTAATGCACACTCACACACACAGACACACACACACACACACATATATATATGTACACACACAGAGAGAGATGAGGAAGGGAGAAGGAGAAACATAAAGCGTGTCGCAGAGTTGAAATAATTGAAAGTTAAATGCCTGCTCGCAAGCGGAAGCGGAAAAGGCGCCATTGTAATCGGACTCGTAATGCACACTAGCCGGTGGTGAGAGGCAAACGCGAAATCCTACTTGGCATGCACATTGCGTGTGCACTGCAATTAAATTTCTGTAATTAATTGCCGTCGTCTGCCGTGTTTATTAAATGCAACTTATTGCAATCGTTTCATGAATGAAAATTCATTTCAATTAAAATGTACGAGTTGTACTCGCACGGCTTATCCTCTTGATAGCCAGTCATCGACATCACTTGTTGTCTATTGGCATGCAATTGTATCATTAAATCAACATCAACTACAACCAAGCAACGAACAATATTTGGCTATACATAAATATCAATATTGGCAGTATTTGAAATTATTTTTGACTTTAATGCAGCGCATGCCTGCTGCGCATACGCATGCAACACACACATCCGCACACACTCTAGAATTTTCTTTAGGTTTGGGTAATTGTTATATGAAATATTCAAAACACGCAACAAATCGATTAAAATATATTTGCTCTAATGCCTCGTATGCCTCTCCCCACATTTTGCTACCCATTCAATATGTTTTGTGAGAACTTTACAACTTTGGCACGTTCCCCTCTAATAGACGAATCGATGGTTCGAAGTGGTGCGTGTGCGAGACGGTTGTTGTTGCCATCGGCCGATTCACTGGCAAGGTAATAGTGAACACCTGGTGTGGCTGCTTAACTTTTTGTTTTCGTACAGAAATGCCAAACGAATTGGCCCCCGAAATTAGTATGTGCTCTTATAAAGTACATGTAAATATTTCTACCGCTCCTATTGTTGACCTTTTTGTGGTTGCTGCTGTTGTGCGGTAGCAACAATTCCTCAATTATCTATGACGTCACAAGCTGCCAAAGGGCTTGTGAACGCACCCAAGTCTTATTAGCGGTGGGTAGTTTGTATTGTACCTTTCCTATTATGTGCTAAGCTATTTTCGTGATGACCCTTGCCAACGAAGCAGAACAATCAAGTTTCTTCGAATAATCGGGCGACTACGAACCAATAGCTTAGACAATGTTTTTAGTGTTTTGCATGGAAAGAAATAAGGATTTGTAATTGCAATGGCATCTGCCTTCTTAGATATCGAATTACCATCATGCTTTATACTTTACTTTATTAATTTATATCCAGCTATAATATCTATTTAGCAGTTATCGTAACAAGGCTTTCAGCTAGCATTTGTATATAAATAATTAAATAGTGTTGGAACACAATTGTTCCTGTGGCGCACATGAAAGGAGTCTATATGACAGGCTATCTATTGTTTGCAGCGCAGCAGATCGCAAGGTGCATTGAATATTAAGGCAAAATCGATTTGGATTGTCATGCTAAGTACTATTGCTTACTTCAGTGCTTTTTATTACTTTACTTGTTTGATGGAAAATCCATGTTAATTTAACAAATAAGAATGGAATGCGAAAGTCATATGTACATTATTATAATGTGTGTATTTAGTCATTTTTGTTGATAATAAAAAACAAGTAAAAAAGCTAAAGTCGGGTGTGCCGACTTTGAAACACTCTGTACATATGTTTAGAATAATTATACCAATTAAAACAATTAAAAAAGCTAATGTCGGGTGTCCCGACTTTGAAATACTCTGTACATATGTTTACAAATTAAAAAAAGTAAGAGAAGTAAAAAAATTTTTGTTATCGGTTTTACCTCTTTTGGGATTCGAACTCACGTCAAGGGTGTATAATTGCACATTTACATCGCAATTGCGTTTATGTGAGTGTATGTAAGCTTATGCGCGTCTATTCGTGTCTGTGTAAGCATGTTTTCAGTCAACCAAAGCTATAACTTCTTGTTAAATTGGTCTATCATGATGATACTGGCATACGGACACATAAGCACTAACTGGGGGCATTTGCAAAATTTGAGTTCGAAATTATAAGGGGAGTAACAGGAGTTACGATTTGCGTGGGAGAGGGGGGAGGGAAATTCGTAAATACACATTTTCTGCGTATTCACAAAAGGCATCTTGGACTAAAATTTGGTGTCCCTAACTCTTATAGTGTCCGAGATATGGGCGATTATACGAATGGAAAATCGGGAAAATCCCCATAGGGATGAAGTGGGGGAAAGTAAAATATAAAAAATATAAAAAAATTGCGCAGTGTGCACACATAAGGCATCTTTGTGCAAAATTTGGTGTATCTAGCTCTTATAGTCTCTAAGATCCAGGTGTTCATACGGACAGACAGACCGACAGATGGACAGACGGACAGACAGACAGACGGACAGGGCTAGATCAACTCGTCTTGTCATGCCTATCAAGAATATATATACTTTGTGGGGTCTGCCCTCCTCCTTCTGCCTGTTACACTTTTCAGCTCGCGCAAACCTAATATACTCCTTTACATTTCATGTACAGAGTATAAAAACGAAGGTATATTAATACAGGTAATATACAGATGGCAATCAAATGAAATGTATATTCAAGTCTTTCTACTTGTTCTTGTAAAATGAACCTCTTCAGATTTTACTGATTACGGTGCTTAATGAATCATTAAATCATGAGAATTACATAACTATATACTAATTCCCTATAACTTTAAAATGTAATTAAGTAATTACTTAGATCGTCGTTATTATTTGGGCTAAAATAAGGCTATTATGCATTTTTGCGTAATACTAACATAAACAAGTAAAAAAGCTAAAGTCGGGTGTCCCGACTTTGAAATACTCTGTACATATGTTTACAATAATTATAGAAAATAAAAAAAAATTAAGAAAATAAAAAAAAACTTTGATCGATTTTACCTCTCTCGGTATTCGAACTCACGTAAAGGGTTAATAATTGCCCTTTTACATTGCAATTGCGTCTGTGTGAGTGTATGTATGCCTATGCGCATCTATTCGTGTCTGTGTAAACATGTTAGCAGTCAACCAAACAGCAACATCAACAACAGCCGCGGGCAGCGCTTGAGCAGCGCTGCAGCAGCAAATTTATTTATGGCTATAACTTCTTGTTAAATCGGTCTATCATAGTGAAACTTGGCATACGGACACATTATAACTAACTGGGGGTATTTGCAAATTTTAGTTCGAAATTCCAAGAATTACGGGAGTTACGATTTGTGGGGTAGAGGGGGGAGGGAGGGAAATTCCAAAATATACACTTTCTGCGTATTCACATAAGGTATCTGGGACTATTTGGTGTTCTTAGGTCTTATAGTCTCCGAGATATAGACGATTATACGAATGGAAAATCGGGAAAACCCCCATAGGGGGAAAAGTGGGGGGAAAATCAAAAAAATAAAACAAACTCATATAGAATACACACATAACGCATCTTTGTGCAAAATTTGGTGTCTCTATCTCTTATAGTCTCTGAGATCCAGGTGTTCATACGGACGGACAGACGGACAGACGGACAGACTAACAGACGGACAGACAGACAGGGCTAGATCGACTCGTCTCGTCATGCTGATCAAGAATATATATACTTTGAGGGGTCTACCACGCCTCCTTCTGCCTGTTACATTTTTCAGCTCCCGCAAACCTAATATACTTCTGTACATTTCATGTACAGAGTATAATTAAGTTATTTCTAATTAAAGA